TAGCCAGGAGCAACAGTGTGAAAAGAGACAAAGCAAGAGTCAATGTGGACTGACATGTGGAGAAAGTCAGTTGTAAAACATGATATAAAACAGAGATGAAGGAGTCTGAGGAGTTAGACCATAAGTTCAGGTTTGAACATGAGTCTTTGAGACATCTCAATCAGCAAGGTAAAAATGATCAATATGCAATTGGAAATACAGGTCTGGCTCTCAGAAAATAACTCTGAATTGGAACTATCAGTTAAACAAATTATCCTGTGACTATTCAGGAACTGAGGAGAGAAAAGATCAGAGTCCTAAGAAACACAGATATTTAGAAAGCAGTGTTAGAGGAGTCCAGGAGAAGAGAGATCAAAGAGCTAAGCAACTGGTCTGGTCTCAAAAGCCAGAGGATGACAGAGTTGAAAGAAAAAGGAAGTGGTAAACGGTGCCAAATGGGTAAGAAAAGTAAGACTAAGCCCCAGGACAATAATTCAGAGGTGGGGTGATGACAATAACAGTCAGGTGGCAGATGGCTGAGATGTGAAGTTATTTTTATTTAAAGAAGTAAAACCAAGGCTGAGCATGGTAGCACACACCTGTAATTCCAGCACTTTGGAAGGGCAAGGCAGGAGGATCGCTTGAGCTCAGTTGTTCAAGACCAGCCTGGGCAACATAGTGAGACCTCATCTCCCTCCACTAATATTAAAAAAAAAAAAAAAGGAGTTGAGTATGCTGGCATGCACCTGTAGTCCTAGATACTTAGGGGTCTCAGGCAGGAGGATCACTTGAGTGCAGGAGGTTCAGGTAGCAGTGAGCCCTGGTAGTGCTATTGCACTCCAGCCTGGGCGATGAAGTGAAACCGTCCCCAAAAAAACAGGCAAACCAAACAAAACCCAGAAGTAAAACCAGTAGGTACTTTTTTTTTTTTTTTTTTTTTTTTGAGATGGAGTCTCACTCTGTCACCCAGGCTGGAGTGCAGCAGTGAAATACTGGCTCACTGCAACCTCTGCCTGCTTCAAGCAATTTTCCTGTGTCAGTCTCCCAAGTAGCTGGGACTACAGGTAGGCACCACCACGCCCAGCTAATTTTTGTATTTTTAGCACAGATGGGGTTTCGTCCTGTTGGCCAGGCTGGTTCTCGAACTCCTGAGCTCAGGTGATCTGCACACCTTGGCCTCCCAAAGTGCTGAGATTCAGGTGTGAGCCACCGCATCCGGCCAGTAGGTAGGTACTCTTTAAAAAAAGCTTGCTGATGAAGGGAAAGAGAGGAGTGAAAGCAAATTGTAGGGATTTTTTAAATTTTTTTTTTAAGGACATAAAGCCAGGCACAGTGGCTCATGTCTGTAATCCCGGCATTTTGAAAGGCTGAGGCAAGAGGGCTGTTTGAGGTCAGGAGTTCAAGACCAGCCTAGTCAACATAGTGAGACCTTGTCTCCCCAAAAAAACTTAAATAATTAGCTGGGCATGGTGGCATACACAGCTATTCAGGAGGATGAGGCAAGAGGATCCCTTGAGCCCAGTAGTTTGAGGCTGCAGTGAGCTATAACTGCACCACTGTAATCAATCTGGGTGACACAGCTAGACTCTGTATCTCATTAAAAAAAAACAGTGGGGAGACAGCAGAGGCGAGATGTGAGTATTCTGACATGCTGCTGGGAAGCAATCAGTCAAACACAAGATTCAGTAACTGCAGATAAAAATTCTAAAGTTCTCAAAAAGAGAAAAAAGTTCTAAGTATGAAGTACTTTCCAAAAATCAATGGAACAGTGTGTTATCATTGACATGATAAATATGAAGACCATACTACATTGAAAAGTATTAAAATTTTACACTCAGAATTCATTAATTGGTCGGGGATGGCTCACACCTGTAATCCCAGCATGTCTGGAGGCCGAGGCATGCAAATCACGTGAACTCAGGAGTTTGAGACCAGCCTCAGCAACATAATGAAACCTCTGTCTCTACAAAAAACTTAGCCCGACGCAGTAGTGATGCCTGTAATCCTAGCTCAAGAGACTGAGGCAGGAGAATTGCTTGAGCCTAGGAGGCAGAGGTTGCAGTGGCCCAAGATCATGCCATTGCACTCCAGCCTGGGAGACAGAGAGAAACCCTATATAAAAAATGTTTTTAAATTTAAAGAAATTCAACATTAGTGTACACTAGAATCACAGCTACGTAAAAGCATATGATGTATATGAATGATGAAAACACTTGCAATAGGAGTTGAGGCCATTTTTTTATATTATGTTCACTGTATAATAAATTATGTGGGAGGAAATGATCCCTCAGATAAGATTTAATCAAAGTTATACAAATAATTCAACTTGGGAAAGATGGGACAGGCATTGAAAGAAAAATAAGGTACCCAACTAACGGCCTCTTGGTGCCAGGCAGAATGTGACATCAAAAGTGGTAGTAAAGAGGGATTCCAAAGAAGCTTTACCAGTATTACTGAGATACTGAAATGGAGGGCAAGAATAATTTGGCAGTTTTATGGCATTTGGGTGTGTATGTGTCTTTGAAATAGAGTGATTAAATGTAAGGGATCCTTAGTTCTAAGTAAGTAAGGTTGAGAGATTTTTACATAATTATACAACATAAAATGTATGCTTTTTAAATGTAAATAGCATGATATAATGGATGCAATATTACAGGTAGAAAGTATAACAGAGGAAAAGCATATAACTTCTGAAATCTCAAATTTAGGAGAGTTACAGGCACAAGGCTTATAACATTATGTATCCATCCACATATAATTTATTTTAGGGAATACTTGGAAGCATTAGGAAAATGAGTTGGAGGAGCCAACACAAAAGGAATGGTAAGCAGAGCATCCAGGATTCCAACTAGGTAAACTTCCCTGGGATACTCCTGCAGTCAATAAGGAGGGAAGATTATTACCACTCACACTGTAATTTACAAAAGGGTCTGGGTTGCATAAATTAGAGTATGTTGAAGCTTTCAAGTTTACCCAGCTTTGAGTTAGTAGAATTATGTGGCAAGGCAAAGTGGTTCCTGTCAATACTATAATCATTTGCAAACATTCACAAGAATGAAAACATACAAAGCTCCAATTATCCAAAATTACAATCAAACTGAAAGGTTAGATTCTCTTTAAAAGTTAACTTTCAAAAGTTGAAATATTATTATTTAGCTCATATTAAAATTTCAATCACCCAATCTCTTCCACAGCAATGGATATAACTAAACTATCTGATTTCAACCTATTCCCTGCCAGTTCTTCATGGGATGCATACTGTACTGAGAATGCAAGAATTTACAAATATGTACAATTAATAGATATTTAAAATGCAGTTCTTACAGAGAATAGAATGGTAGTTACCAGGTGCTGGAGGTAAAGAGGTGGGAGCAAGTATGTGATGGAAAGATGTTGACCTAAGAATACAAACTTCCAGTCAGATAGGAGGAATAAGTTCTCAAGATCTACTGTACAGCAAGGTGACTACAGATAATTATGTTTATTTCAACATTACTAAGAGAATAGGTTTTAAACATGCCCATTACAAAAAAAAGATAAATATGTAAGATGATAAATATGTTAATGTGCTTGATATAATCAATCATTCCATAATGTATACAAATATCAAAACATCACTTTATGCCCCATACATGTAATTATTGTCAATTAAAAAAAAATTTAATTAGGAATTTTTTAAAATGAAGTTCTTCCTATCTAGAACACTTGACCTCCTGTCCTTGAACCCAGCTAATTTCCAGTTCATCATCTAGTCACTCCCTCCAAGAAGTCTTCCCTGATGCCTTAAGGTGACTCATCATAGCAACAACTTATCACACTCTATTGTAATTTTGGGTTTACTAGTGTGAAACTCCTATTAGAATGTAAGCTTCCATCCAGAAGGATGGAACCACATTAACCTGACCCACAATAACCTGACCCAAGAGTCTGGTGCTTAGCACCTAGCACAGTGTGTGGCAAATATAATGAGTAGAATTAATATTTGTTTTTTTGAGACAGGGTCTCACTCTGGGCTGAAGTGCAGTAGCATGATCACAGCTCACTGCAACCCTTGACCTGCCAGGCTCAACCAAACCTCCCACCTTAGCCAGTGTATGCCACCATGTCTGGCTAATTTAAAAATTTTTTTTTGTAGAGACAGGGTCTTGCTTTTGTTGCCTAGGCTGATCTTGAACTCCTGGCCTCAAGCAATCCTCCTGCCTCAGCCTCCCAAAATGCTGAGATTACAGGGGCGAGCCACCATACCCAGTCCAGAATAAATGAATCATAAAGATGCAGTAAAAATACATACTCTTCAAAGAAATTTTACTCTTGGGAAGAGCATTTTAAACCTTTGCCCCACTCTCCTCTGCCACTATCTCAGGTAGATAGTCTAAGAGACACTGCCTTAACCTGTTCTTATCAATACTTTTTTCTTTCATTGAAGATTAGTGCAGGAAGAGACCTAAGAGGTCAGGCAACCCAATACCTTCAGTATCCAGAGAAGTGAATAAAGCCAACTAGTCAGTAACTTAAAAGGTCAATAAACAATGTCTTATCATTTGTTCCTCCATCAAATACTTATGTTTGTCCTCCCATTCCCCAACATTCAACCTCTCTACTAATAACTAATATAATCCTTCTCCAGTTGTCCCCATCCACTACAGTACCTCAGTTTTAATTTAGATAAATGTTGTGTGTGTGTGTGTCCACGCGTGCGTATCTGTAAACATTAGTAGAAGCCTATTTTTATCCCAGTTTATCACTTTATCAACTGTTACCAAAAGTTAGATCATAAATTCTCTTAAGAACTGTGATTTATCTTAATAACATCTAAGAAAATTTAAAGCATTTATACACAATATGTACTAAAAAACAGTGGTAACACTACAAAATGGGAAAAATAAAAAACCCAATCAGAAAATAAATTATTTGTATAATATCATAAGAAACATTTTTACATCCTATCACGGTCAAAAGTTTTATTATCAACTATCTAGCCTTACCTACACTGATCTTCCAATTAAATATTAAGGGCCTACCTAAAAGCCGCTTCCCAAAAGCAGTTCATTCCACAAACATCAGAGGGCAGCATCCAATAGGGATTCCAGTAACACAGAGAGAAATCTTTACACCTAACAGAGTAAGACAGAAATAAGAGTATTTTGAAATGTGAGTATTTTGGTTTGCTAACAAGGACTTTACTCAGTAACACAGTAAGTGTTCTATTTTAGAGCAAATAAAATTGCAAATCCAAATTGCTATGATAAAGACTTTGGAAAACTGATTTCTCCCTTACTTAGGGCACCATTATTTTAAACAGAACTTTAAAACCTTAGAGGTAGACTATACTATAGATTGGGAAACAGTTTTCCAGTCTGAATCCTCCTGATATATTAAAATCCTCTCCTCAGATAACACAGGCAAATACATCTTCTAAAATTTTCTTCATATGCTATACCCCTAGAACAAAATCCCTTTGGGACAAACAAAATATTTGCTTATCCTCAAACACAATAAAAATGCCACAAATGCTGGCAGAAAGGGAAAAGAAGGTTTTTAATGCTTTTAAATTAATCCTCAACCCAAACTACTTGTATGGTGTTTTCAACTAAAAATTAAGATATTGTAATGGCCAAGAGGTATATGAAAATGGTCAACATCACTAATCATCAGAGAAATGTACATTAAAAACACAATGAGATACCATCTCACCCAGTTAAAATAGTTATTGTCAAAAAGACAAAAAACAACAAATGCTGACAAAGATATGAAGAGAAAAGGAAACACTAATACACTGCTGGTTGGAACATAAATTACTATAGCCACTATAAAAAACAACACAGAAATTCCTCAAAAAACTAAAAACAGAACTACCATATGATCCAGCAAACCTATTGCTGTGTGTGTGTATATATACATACATATGCACATATTACATACATACAAAGATGAGCACGGTGGATCACATCTGTAACCTCAGCACTTTGGAAGGCTGAGGTAGGTGGACTGCTTGAGGTTAGGAGTTCAAGACTAGCCTGGTCAACGTAAAAACACCCCGTCTCTAAAAATAAAAAATTAGCTGGACATGGTGGCATGTACCTGTAACTCCCAGCTACTTAGAAGGCTGAGGTGGGAGGACTGCATGAGCCCAAGAGTTTGATGTTGCAATAAGCTGTGATTATGCTACTGCACTCCAGCCTGGATGACAGAGCAAGAGAAGCTATCTCAAACAAAACAAAAAGAAACAAATGTAAGCCCCACCCCCGCCAAAAAAAAATGGAAATCATGCTGATATTCACAGCCTAGTATCATTATCTACATTATCTCAGTTCCATACTATACAAGCCACAAGAGAGGATCAAGTCTGGTCTTTCTTCTTAGATTGCATGTTGGAGCCAAAAAGGAAAAAAGAAAACACCTTATATTATAAAAAAATTGTTGTTCATGATGATTTCTGTTCAAAAGAATAGTTTAAAACTCACTGGGTACTAAAGTATGTATGAAGTCAGGGTGAGTCACCAAACCAGGCCACTTCATTATCTCATCACTATGCAGCTTTGTGTTCCCTCACTATGAATTCAATTATGAGTTACTGTGGTTATATCAAATGGGCTATGAAATTTATGATTTGCAAAAATCTGATCACATGTCTCACAAATGGCAACAGTCTAAGGCAGGGGTTCTCAGCCCTGGTAGAGGGTGTCACACAAGACCTGTTAAATCAGAATCTCTAGGAACAGGGTCTGGCACTGGTGGTTTTTAAAATGCTGCCTAAGTAATTCTGCCTACTAGAGCATAAAGAACAAGGTTGGAATTTCTTAATCAATAGAAATAAGTTATATTGTAACTTTGTTTTCCCCTAAAGAGACACCATTTTCTAGCATAGCACAAAAGACTACATACCTTCATTTAAAAGGCTCATAAACCAGAAAGAGAAGAAAATGTGTACATATCAATAAAACTTATGACTTGATTAGAAAATCTGTGTTTATACGCTCTCAGGTATGGCTATGTATTTTTTAAGTCTTTGACTTCATACCACACAGTCAGACTCAGTGATGGTAATAACAACTAACTTCGAGTTCTTTTCAGATTCAAGAAGTTTCACACCTATTTAGACTCACAAGAAACGTTTTAAGGTAGATATGATCTTTGTCTTTCAGACAGACATTATCGCAGCTTTATTTCAACAAATCCACAATTTATTTACAATCAACACCTAATGCATACTTTTGTTCTATGAAGAAAAATAACTAATCAGGTAACTACATATGTCCTGTCAAACTCTACAATAGTGAAGAAATGGAAATGGATATCTCAAAGACAAATTCAATTTTCTATAAAATTATTAAAATTATATATATTTAACAATACCATTTGCAGACTCAACTTGCACTTTAAATTACAAATCAGTTACGTGTTGTTTTCCAAACTTGCCTGGTCCTCAGGTCACTTGTTAAAAATACAGATATAGGCTCTTATCCCACGCCCAGTTAATCAAGACTCCCCAGCGAAGTGGCCTAGGAAGCTGAACTTTTCACCAATATCCTTAGATGAGTCTTAAAATCAGACCTGAATGAGAAGCACTGTATATCAAGGGATATCAAGAGTCAACTCAAAATTTTTTATCAAAGTACTGATAACAACTTCTCTTATGATAATCCTGTTTATTTATTACAACTTGAAAAGAATTAAATTTTGAAAATTTGTGTTTCTACGAATACTTCAATTAATACATGCTATTAAGTACCATTTAGAAAATTTTTAAAGCGTAAGAAATAAATCACCCGCCACTATTAACATTTTCATATCTTCCTACAAATTTATGACTAGAAAAGTTAATGTGCATGTTGCCAACATGCAGAAGTTGCTGAAACTACTTCATGTTCATTAATCTCAAGTAAATGCCCATGTGAGCTAGAGAAAACACTTCAAACTCTGTCCTCAGGAAATATGCACCAGGGAGCTTCTAACTCAAGAGACCCTCTTGCAGTATTACAATTAAACTGTATTTGGGGGCAATTTTTTTTTTAAGTTGATGCAAGATGGAGAAGCCACAGACATGAGAATTAAATTCAACAAGACCAACATTTAGAACAACTTAGTAATGAGTTTAAATTCTGTGAAGCTTTGAGCCACACCAAGAACCCTGCACTTTTGCTAGTATCAAACTAGGTGCCAAGTATGGTGGCTTAAGAATGATCACACATTCTGACACTTGTATTAAGAAGTAGGATCTGCCAGCCAGGTGCAGTGGCTCATACTTGTAATCTCAGCACTTTGGGAGGCCGAGGCAGGTGGATCATGAGGTCAAGAGATCAAGACCATCCTGGCTAACACAGTGAAACCTGGTCTCTACTAAAAATACAAAAAAAAACTAGCTAGGCATGGTGGCATGCACCTGTAGTCCCAGCTACTCAGGAGGCTGAGGCAGGAGAATCCCTTGAATCGAAGAGACAGAGGGTACAGTGAGCCAAGATAAGTGCCACTGCACTCCAGCCTGGGTGACAGAGTGAGACTTTGTCTCAAAAAAAAAGGTAGGATCTAACTCCACTTATCCAGAATCTACATGGGCTCTGTGATTGCTTTGACATATAGAATACTGAATATATGCTATTCAGTACAGGTATAATATATACTATGCCAATTTCGAGGCCCTTGCCTTAAGACTTCTACATCTTATTTCTTGGAACTCTCTTTGAACCTGTCTTCACATTATAAGAAGCCCAAGGCACATGGGGAAGTCACTTAAGAGAATGAAGATCAACAGCCTCCACTGAGATCCTAGTGAAAAGCCAGCATCAACTGCTAGCCATGTAAAAGGGCCACAATGCCACACCATTCTGATCTATCAACCTGCTGGTTCCTCCCCGAATCACAGAAAACTAGCATCTCGTTCACAGCCCTCGTCTCAGTACCAAATCCTACATTCCTCTAACCATTCATTTGGTAAATCAATAAAGGATCTAATGAATAACTACCTACACAGGTCAAACACGGGCAACACAATAATGTGATGGTGAGTAAAGTGGACATGGATCACACTGTATAGTGGGGAATAACAGAATGTCATCTCAGATATTCCCATGTGGAAGACCTACCTAACACCCAGGTTACACAAGTCTTCAGTTCCAGTAACTTTTACCTCCTCTTCCCTTCAGTTAAAAATGGCAAATCCTGGCTGGGCACAGTGGCTTACACCTGTAATCCCAGTACTTTAGGGGGCCGAGGTGGGTGGATCATTTGGGCCCAGGAGTTCAAGACCAACCTGGGCAACATAGCGAAACCCCATTTCTACACAGAATACAAAAAAAATTAGCTTGTCATGGTGGTGTGCGCCTGTAGTCCCAGCTACTTGGGAGGCTGAGATGGGAGGATAGTTTGAGCCCAGTAGTTTGAGGCTGCAGTGAACTGTGATCACGCCAATGCACATCAGGTCTGGGTGACAGAGGGAGACCCTGTCTGAGAAAAAAAAAAAGAGAGAGAGAAAAGAAAAGAAAAAAATGGCAAATCCTGGACCTTGTCATCACCGGAAACTGCAATCCTTAATCTCCAATACCTCATCTCAGACTAGTTTCTGATCTAATAATTATGGTTCTTTTTTCCTGACAGGGTCTTGCTCTATCACCCACGGTGTTCAGTGGCACAAACACAGCTCACTACAGCCTCAATCTCCTGGGCTCAAGCCATCCTTCTGCCTCAGTTCCCAAGTATCTAGGACTATAAATATGTGCCACCACATCTGGCTAATTTTTGAAAATTTGTAGAAACCAAGTATTGCTTTGTTGCCCAGGCTTATTAATTCTTTATATCCCATTACATGTGTGGAAATCACTCAGACCTCCAATCACATGCTTCCTAAGCTCCCTCCTCTACTCGTTCCCCCGCTACTCAGACTATATCATATGGTTCATCTATTCATGTTCCTATACCTACTTCTACCTCCTTCTTTCACTGTACCTTTTCAGTACAATCCTCAGTTGAAACTGAGCTGTTTATTTACATTCTCAGATAAATACTGAAGAACAGTTAATGATATGACTATGCTGATTAGCAGAAATATAAATTAACTGTCTTCCCCTTAGCTAGTCTCATGCCTACTACCAACTCTACATGCATCCCCTTGTTGCCC